AATGAGGTATCTGATTCACTGTGGATCGTCTTACGTGAAGATAAGTGGAAACTTCTCATAGGCTGTGTTTATCGAGCACGATGCTCAACCAGTGAGGAAATTATTTTAGGAATTTAGTTATGCGTCACAGCAACTATCTTTAAATTCTAGGGCAAAATATATAAACAAACAGGTGTAGCAATGAGATCGCCGATATCCCCTATAGCAGATATATTCATGGACAGCTGTGAAAATATTGGTCTTAATATATTAAATCGCTCTTCAAAAATATGGTTGAGATATGTGGATGACACTTTCAAAGTGTTAGACACAGAACATATCTCTAGCTTCTTGACACGTAATAACTCACCAGTGGAGGGAATATAATTCACATTTGAATCGGAAAATGGACAAAGAGCATTGGCTATGTTTGACTGTTAGATAAAACAAATGGAAGAAGGTAAACTTCACACTAACGTTTATAAAAAACCAGCACATTCGAATAGATATTTAGACTCTAATTCATCTGATCCGTTAATTGTTAAGGAAGGCTTAGTTAAGTGTCTAACAAACCGAGAAGTACCACTTAGTAGCATAACAAAAGACCTAAATGGTGAAATGAAACATAGAAGAAAAGCGTTGGTGTTAAATTAACAGCGTATAAAATTGATTTGGTAGATCAGAAAAGGTAAAATTAAAACTAATGGAGAAGCTAATGGTGATAAAATTAATAAGAGGGAATATAAGGCATCTAAACGTATACCGCATGAGGAGGGGATATTTGAGGCCCTACGTAGGATTCTCAATAGAGCTAAGAGACTCTGTGGGCTAAGAGACTCAGTGGACCCAGTCTAATCTAATTTACACAATACCCTGCAGTGACTATGAGTGGGGTCACCTACATAGGTCACACTAGTGTGTCCGCGGTAGTCGGGTTGTCAGAACATAGGAATTCAGAATAATCGATCCCACGAAGTAAGTGATTTTGAAAAAACTCAGCGATTGCACTGTATGCAACAACACAACCACAGAATGGAGTGGGAGAAGGTTGAAATTCTAAGAACTAATGTTGGTAGGTAACCTCGCCTAGATTACCAGCTCGCTAGTTATTTTCCCGGTCCCAAGCCCGGATAAAGAGGGAGGGTTGGGGCGTGGTGCTGGTGACTCCACCCCTGTAAAACTACCAAATCGCTACAGAAACTTCAACGAATAAATATATTAAAAATTCTAAAAACATGAACAATAACCTTATTTTTCGCAGGGATCGGGGAGGGAAATGATGCAGGCTGGTGAAAGACTGCGGGAAGCCAGTCAACCGATGTGTCTTCTTTCGATGAAAGCAAAAGTAAGGATAGGTACCTGGAATGTTCGTACAACAGCGCGCACACAACTACAAGTTGACACCAGTCCCCCAACGAGAGCTGAAGTCCTGAATGCAATCAAGCTTCCGAAAGCTGGAAAAGCTGCTGGACCAGATAAAATACCCCCTGAAGCACTGAAAGCGGACCCAGAGACGACAGCAGATATGCTGACTCCATTATTGCATAAGGTCTGGAAGGAGGGAAAGGTGCATACTGACTGGAGGAAAGGTTACCTCGTGAAACTACCAAAGAAGGGTGACTTACGCCTCGCTCTGCAAGAACTGGCAAGTAATCATGCTCCTGTCGACGCCAAGTAAAATCCTGAGTCGCATTATCCTGGAGAGAATTAAGGACACACTGGATGTAGAACTCCGACCAGAACAAGCTGGATTCAGGAAAGGCAAATCATTTACTGACCAAATTACAACTCTACGCATCATCATCACAGAACAAAGCATGGAATGGCAATCAAACCTCTACCTCAACTTTACAGACTTTGAGAAGGCCTTCGACAGCGTTGACCGCGAAGTAATTTGGAAACTACTCGAGTACTACGGTGTACTCGAAATATTCATCAACCTTATTCAACAGCTGTACAACAACGGCACATGTCAAGTGATCCACAACGGAAAACTCAGCGAGGCGTTTTGAGTAAAAACAAAAGTCAGACAAGGGTGCTTATTAACACCAATGATATTTCTAATTGTGGTGAACTGACTGGATTATACGGCAGATAGTGGGAAACGAGAAGACAGGGATATCCTGAACCGACGCGAAGAACCTAGAAGACCTGGATTTCGCACGTGGATGATTTATGTTTGATGTCACACACAATCGAAGACTTACAAGCGAAAACCGACAAACTGGTCGAAGAAGCAACCGGCGAAGACGGGACTCCAGGTGAGCATAGACAAGATGGAGGTTATGAAAATAACTAACCAACCAATAAGAACAACAACAGCAGTAACATCCAGTGCCAATCATCATCAACGGGAGGGATTTGACAAAGGTTACTTCATTCACTCATCTAGCATTGGGCATTGTCTCAACTAATTTATATAACGACTTATCCATGCCTGTACAATTGGTATGTTCCTGCATGAACAGGGAGAATATATATTAATAAAGACAGTCGGAATGGACGAGGATGTCCAATCGAGCAAGAATCGGAAAGGGGAGAATCACATTCATCAACCTGAAATCAATCTAGAAATCCTCGTCACTCAGCATCAACAACAAAATTCGGTCGGATTTTCAAAACAAACGTCAAGTCAGTCAGTTCTTCTATATGGATCAGAAAATTGGCGGGTGGGTCACAAAGAATATTTCCAACAGGCTATTGCAGAGATTTATCAACAGCTGTCTTCTCTCTATACTGAAGATCAGATCAGATAGCCGGGCCGGAAAGAATCACCAACAAGACACTATGGGAACAAAAAAAGGAAGAACCAATCGCCCAACAAATATGCAGGAGAAAGTGGAGATGGATGGATTGGACACTCGCTGAGGAGGTTGCTGGGTGACATTGCGCGTCAGGCGATTGGTCGAGTGGAACCCGAAAGGGAAGCGGTGAGTGGGTCGTTAGTAGAAGGTTGAGATGGTGTGAAGAGGAGTTGAAACAGTCTGGATTATGGTGGATGCAGGAGAAGACAGAAACAAGTGGAGACATGCGGTTGAAGCCCTATGTTCCACTAGGAACCCAAGGAAGCAATCATAGTAATAATGTTTGTAGGTGGAGAGAGAGGTTTATTACTGAATTCTTGTTCATTGTCTACACCCAGCACATGCAACACGAATGACCCATCACTCATACCGGAAATATGGAAAATACTACTCCCAATCAAGTCAAGTGATGGAAAATAATGGAATAATATAAACGAAGCTAGAAAGTTGTGTGGATACCTTGATATGATTATGAGCAGCAATAAATTGTGCTGGAAACGCTACCATTAAATATTACTGTGCAACACTGTGAAACTTTATTAACATAAATTTTACCCATAATGGAATAACACTCTACCACAGTACACAAGTTCTATTCTTCCATCTACTTACCTTATCTCTGTGTTAGAGTGTGCTCAAGAATAGCTCAGTCTAATCCCGCTGCACAACATAAGAAATAGAGGACTGTCGGAAACAGCTGGAGACGACACTAGGTCGGGCAAAAGCAGAAAGTTATTTAAACTGGACTTTATTCCTAAACAGTGACCAGTTGCTGGTTAAAAACGCTCAAATCATGGCCCCTTAGATTTCCACGATCTTGTGGTCACAATGTTTGCGAGCGCCAATACTGGGATGCTATGCGCCCCCGTCCGTGCCTTAGCGAAGTTAACCGCATCCGAATCCGAAGACTGATCTGACTCAGAAAATCCCGAGAAACCCCAGCAGTCTTTGCTGACTCATGTCAGAAAGAAAGCCTTCCACCCATAGGGTATGCGCCTATGAGGTCCAAACGGTTAGTATCTTGCTAGTTTGGAAGTGGATGATGCATCCAGTTTGACCTCTGATAGACTGCTAAATAATACAGTGGATATGAGCCGCAGGGACTGCAACAATAACTTGCCAAGAGAAAACTCATTGGGTACATCCGAAATAAACCCTTCAGTGGTGAAAGGGAGGTTGCGAAAACTCACCTCTGGAAGGTCCTCAGGTTGTAACAGTGTTAAACCATATGACCTGTCCCAACACTTCTTGGATTCAGGAGAACTGCTTAAGGGGTGAAAGACGGCCGTTCCTCTTACAATCTTCAGGGGTGGGGGCCGGGAAAATGCCACGAGTTATAGGCCAGTAGCACTACTTCCGGTCTGACTGATGGTCTCATCAGTGAGCACCTAGACGGAATACTGAACTCCATCGAATGCAACGCGGTTTCAAGGGGGTGAATCCTGTGTTACAAGTCTGTTAGTAACTTCGAATGATTGAACAGCATGCTGGAATATGAATATTCCGGTCCATGTGGTACTCCTCGACCTTGCAGAGACATGCAACACAGGTCACCATAACTTTCTCCTGGACAAAATAAGTCAGATGGATAATGGTGACTCACTTCTCTCACGGTTGGAGGACTATCTGGACGGAGGGGAATCGTGCACCTAGCATATATATATGTGCGTTAGTGGCACAGTGGTAAGAATTCTCGCCGACCATGCACATGGTTCAGGGTTCGATCCCCTACCGACGCACACCTGATATCTATGGTTGGCCTGCGAAATTTGGGCTACCGATATCACATGCTGAAAATTCCACAGTGTACCAAAAGTACGGTGTAGAATCAAGCTGTAATCAAAGAATTAAAAAAATTATATAGTTGAATATCAAATTTCATCAACTGCTTGTAAGTTTTCAGTTTTTTCAAAGTCTACATAACCCACACCCGTTACATCCAACATCTCTCCCTTCGACCCAGCCGAACGACCTACGATGAAAGGATTAACCTCATTCCCAGTAGTGACACGGTCTTATACTCTGATTACTTAAGCCTATATACAACCAATCCCAGAACCAATACCTTTGGAGTCAAACAGAGCGATATCGGTCGAATGACAGAGCGAAAAATGAAGGGGCTTATCGGATATTAGGAAACTTCAGATTCCAACCAAAAGACGAGTGCAGAGAAATCCGTTCGGTTCACATTAGCTCGTTGAAACAATACAGGATATTGGACATTGAAGTCGCGTGTGCACACTTCAAGGTGTGCGTTACTTGGCAACAAACATGTATGGGTTGCCAGTTGTTTTTCTGCTTCTCTCCTTCCTATTGGGAGGGTTGCACTGCTTAGATATCCCTCCTAAAGAAGCAGTTAATGCGGTTTCTACGTCAACAGAGCAAGTACAATCATCCAAAGAATCTAATTCATTATGGGCCTCATTCTTTTCTGGGTTTTCATCGTCGCTGTACGTTATAATTATCTCAGAACTGGGAGACAAGACATTTTTCATTGCCGCTATTATGTCCATGCAACATCCACGTGCTTTAGTCTATGGTGGCGCTATGCTAGCCCTAATAACGATGACAATACTTTCGGGTAGTAATAATCACACTAAATATGTTTGTTTCAGCGCTTCTTGGCTATGCCACTACTATTGTACCTCGTTTCGTTACATTTTACGCATCCGGCGTATTATTTCTGCTATTTGGCCTCAAAATGCTATATGAAGGTATAGTTCGCAATCATTCTATTGAAGTGCTTAGCATATACTATGTCTTCCACTGCAGCCAAGGAGGAGTTTGACGAAGTTCAAATTCAGCTTACACAATCTAAAGGCGCTGACCTAGAAGCAGGGAACGCACCTCAAGATGTTCATCGGGGTGTCTATTCAAAACTGTGCACTGCCACCAAACAAATATTAACTCCAGTATTTGTCGAGGCCTTTATCCTTACATTTTTGGCGGAATGGGGTGATAGATCCCAAATAACTACGATTGTTCTTGCAGCTACAAAGGTGAGTGGCGACTTTTTCCAGATAACTAAGGCGAATTTCTGGACAGTGCTATTTTGTGAAGGAAGTCTTGCCTTTTCAGCGTTGAGTTAGTATACAAAAACATTATTTTAACTTTAACTGATATTCCATATTAGTTTGCTTATTAGGTATATATACTGCGAAACAGTATTATTTACTGTATGACAAGGTTTCAAACACAAGTTATTACTTTTCACAATCATCAATTATAATCACACGACTTCGAAACTTGAGTTCTACTTGTAGTCGTTGGGGTAGTAGAATTTTCGGGACATTTGGGACAAGTGTTGAATCATTCGTACTACACGTATTTGCAGTTGATTCGATAAACAAAGTTTCTGTTGTTAATCTCCTCCTCCACCCTGTTACTATTATCTTATCCCATCCTATTATACGGTTGTGTGTAATAGCATGTGTGTGCGTCGGTGGCATAGTGGTTAGGACTCTTGCCGACCATGCACATGGTCCGGGGTTCGAGCCCGCACCAACGCACACCTGATATCTATGGTCGGCCTGCAAAATTTGGGCTACCGATATCCATGCTGAAAATTCCATACTTGTACCGAAAATACAGTGTGGAATCAAGCTGTAAATCAAAAATAAAAAAAATAAAAATAAAATAAAAATAGCTCAACTATTCTCTAGATTTCTTATCTTATTTGCGTCAACTGATCTAGATCTTGCTAGGCTTTTATGCTGCGCTAGTCTACCGCTTTGACATTTGTATTTGATCCGAAAATCATTTCAGGATATTAGATGAACCAAATTGTTTTGTTTTATTGGCTCCACAGGATGTTTTAACTGACAAAGCTTGTTTCTAATTGAGTTTTTGGGTTTGAATGCCAGTCGATTTTATTCCTGCATAGTTAAGAATTTTGCGTAAAGTTACTGTGTTCCTTCTTTGCATGGAAGTACTACTGTGATGATTTACATTCCCTATTGTTGGTGTTGTCATTATCCTGAGCATGTTCGACATGCATGTCGTCATTAATATTACTATTATTGTTATCACCACTATCACCACTACTATCATTTATTTTATGATTAAATTTCCCTACATACTTTCTGATTAATTTATCAGGGTAAATATTAAGTTTCAAAGCTTTCTTATATGCCTCATTTCCCGTTTTAGATTACCCTTGGCGCCACTTAGTTTTTGTGCCCTATTACTTAGAAATTTCACATATCCTATTATTACTGATATATGGTAGGATAATCGAGAATTCCAGTATCTGTTTAAATGTGTAGGTTTCCTGTAAACACTAGTGTTTAACTTCCCGTCTTCTTTCCTTTTTATACTGTAATCTATCATTGGAAGTTCTCCCTCCTTCCTGGATTTCCAACTCATAAGTGAGTTGAATTGCCTCCGCCTTCAGGTTGATGTGTTCGAAAAATCTTTATGTGCTGCGTTCTAAGTACGATGAATGTGTCTTGTACATACGCCCACCAAGCTTTAGTGGTCGTGGGGTTGAACGTTTCAATTGCTGTTTTCCCACCTATCGATGAATATATCTGCCGCAATCGGAGATATTGGTGACCCCATGGCAACTCCCTCAGTTTGTTTGTATATTTTCCCCTAGAATTTAAATACTGTGAAAGTCGGGCCTAGCTGCATTCCCAGCATTGTGTCCTCCAGTGACACTTTCGTCCCAAGTTCAAGTTCTTGGTCAGAAATAAGTTCGTTTCTGACTGCCTGTATATCCATTTTTATTGGTATACGTGTATATAGACTGACAATTTCAAAACTAACCATTTTTTCTTCATTATCTAATTTTAAATTATCTAATCTGTGTTTTAGTCCATAAGAATTAGTTAGTCTAGATTTCGAGTGGATTTTTACAGGATTTAATACCATGGCTAAATATTTAGATAATTCATAGGTAGGTGAATTTCTAAAATCAACTATAGGCCTAATAGGGTATTCTGACTTATGAATTTTAACAAGATACATCCTACTGGGGTTATTAGTCCTCGGCATTAAATCAAACCATTTAAACTCACTTAGATACGGCTTCATTCGCCGTATAAGGTCCGCTGTGGATTCCTTAACTTTATTCCAGTTTAAGCAAAAAACTAATGGGAATAGTTACGAGTGAGGATTGCGATTACAGTCCTTTAGCAATGCCAAATCAGCAGTTTTCAAAAAGTTAAGGAATACTCACATCAGAAAGTTCAATAAATTATTGGAGGAGAAATCTTCATCTCCAAACGATGCAATCAGCAATCTAAAGTCAACGGGGATCGATGAATCAAAGTGGGTTATCAATCTCTCATCACATATATTAAGTCCTATGGAAATAAGTGTATTAGAAAAGGGAATAAATTTCAGTGCAACAGTAGACAAGCTGAAATCTGAAGATGTCATCCCTAAAATAGAAATAACACTAAGTGGGATAGAAAAAATAACGGCTGATCAAGTACGAGCACAATGTGCACTAACGTTAAAACGACAAAAATGTGGAAAGCCTAACCTGACAAAACCAGAGATGGAAGCCCTAAAGCACCCTAAGAATAAAAAGGACATAGCAGTCGCTCAGTCAAACAACGGAAATACAACAGTAGGCTTAGAAAAAATCAGACAATGTGGACAAGTACTCACATACAAGCAGGACCATATGAGGAAATTAATAAATCAATACACATAGTTATTAATAAAGTTAAGAAATCCACAGCGGACCTTATAGACCGAATGAGGCCGTTTCTAGGTACATAGTAGTGCACACTGAATTAATTAGGGTTTGTAATTTATTTATACTACACATATATACACATGAATTGAGTATGACTAAAATTTAACACATGGTGAACAGAAACTGGTATTGTTTATGACACAGTATTCAAAACACTGAGCGTTCTTGATATTAAATATTTCATGCTAGAGTATGATAAAAATTATACTGAAACAGAGAGTAAAACTCCTTGTTACTTTATCTAAAACGAGTTTAGAAGACTATTGAAGTCAAGCGGTATTCTACAGACATACTGCAACATAAGTAATCCTTAGAAAGGATATAAAAATACTACACATGATAGTAGCTTGGGAAACAATTCCGTAAGTCAACTTTGGAATATAATTATTTCTTAAGTAGAAGCCACAGTAAAATTAAATTGACTTCATTGATAGTTTTGATTCGTAGTGATGTCCGTGAACAAATTGAAAAACCACGAGTAGGTGAAAGTTGGAATTCATGGGCCGTATAATCTAGTCCTAGTGGTCGAATGGTCTACGAGTTTGTCTTGTAACTAGAAGATCCTGAGTTCAAATTCTGGTGGCTGCATACTGATGAAGAATCCCAAACAGAATGGAACGGCTGTCCAGTACTCCTAGGCTTTCCAGTGGTCTTCTAACTGATGTCAACCCGTGATCAAACTTGAGACATTTACCGAGTTGTGATATATATATATTTGACTAGTCCAAAGGGATTCGATTTACTTTAACCCTTTTTCCCTTTTGATGGTTTGGTCACCGAGGTAGTAATCTCAACTTTTGCAACATGAATGACTTATAATCTAATCGGAAGATGACAGGTGCACAAAGATGCCTCAGGTAATTTTGCTCCACTTCGAAATAGTGAAGATAAAAGCAGCAAAGGCATTAATTCATATACCAGATGAGGTAGTAATTCAATGACGTCTAGTAAAGATTTCACCACAGATTGCTGTGAACAAAGAATTCTTCCTTTTCATCCATCAGTATTAGGTGAATAATAAGTTTTTAGTTAGTAAAGACTCATCAAAGCAAACATTATTGATCAAATAGTTTTCTTCGGTATTAATACTGTTTAGATTCAATTGCTTTTGGAATTCACTTATGAGTAGATGATTATTTTGAGCAGTGTTGGGTGAATGACAAGAAATAACTATAATTGAAGTTTACAAATGAATCTGATTCACTAAGATCACGAACTTTATGCGAATAAAACTAAGTCTGACAACAAGTCGAATAGGATTGTATTACAGAAATAAAGTTTATTGAGTGCAAACTGTACTGTGTGTGTGTGGATAAAACCAGATAAGGGCATATTATCAAGTCAATAGTTCTAATTAAATGATAAACGTACATTTGATAAAATAATTTAGAATAATGTGGCCTAGGAAGATATACACATAAGTTTTTGTGGGTCGAAATCCGAAGGCTTCATGAACATGAAGACTGAGAATTTCTTGATAACAAAGCTGGCCAAAGTAGTCATGGAGATTGTACATGTTTCCTCTGGATACATAATTCAGACTCTCCTATTCTACTGTTTGCAGAATTCAAAGTATAGTCCCTCACAACAGTTTAGTAATGACGTGTTAAATGATGAGGAAACACTGATCCGTGCTTTGCTTTCCGTCCATATAGACTAAGCGAACTAGTTTAAAACTATTTTATTGACTTTATAACATCTCTGTATAATCACAATGGAAGGTGTTCTAGAGGTTAGATGGTTAAATTCCTAAAACAGTAACCAATGTAACTAACTCCACAGGAGCAGTGGAACTGATGAATGCAGCGAGAATTGATTAATCCAGGTAATTCAACCTTCAGCATCACCATTGGATATATGAGAAACATTGTTTGCAATTTTCATTCAGTAAAGGTCCTGTGGATAAATCGACGTAGCTCTAGAACCGTGATCTCACACTATCTCTGAACTGCGTTTCATGCTTTTCCTAAACCTTAAGTGTCAAAACATGTAACCGTTAGTTTGAGCCACTCACGTTGGGAGATTTTGACTTTTTTGGAAACCTCAGGATGATACGAACCAACGACTATAGACTACTGATGATATGGCTAAAAATTATTGTCGTTAGCATCTAAGATCCCCAACAGGGGAATCTACATTTTCCAATGTGGCTGGCTGAAACCAACTGTGAAAAACTCAAATAAGATAAATTAAATAGCCTTATTTTGAACAAAAGTTTTATACAGTTCACAGTATTCTCAGTGTAATTTATCGCTATAAAGTTACATAGGTTGAGATGGTTAGGTCGCGTGCTGCACATGCCTAACCATCGCCTCCCCCGACGGGCATTACTAGCTGATATAGGTTCAGGTTGGAAAAGAGCCAGTGGTGGCCAAACAAAAACATGGCATCAATCCATGAAATCCTTGACAGTTAAACTGAGTCAGGTAGGGAGATGAAGACTTCCGGGTTGGGGCCCTAGGGACTCTAGGAATCAATGGCTGGAGACAATAGACGACATGGCTCGAAATCGTTGTCAGTGGCTCAGATGTATTCAGTCTCTGTAATCTTTCATATTCCTTTCTATTATTACCCATTCTGTTTCACTCTTATACCTGTCAAACTCTGTTGATTCTCTTCACTCATCTTCTAGTCTACTTTTGTGTGGTATTTGGAACGTGGCAACTCGAACTGCTGGACTTTGGTGCCGAATTCTATGCTGAATCCAGACAGACAGAATTTATTGCGCAATATTTTTTCCCCATCCAGAATCTTCAAGTAAAATAGCAGCAGGCTATGGTACAGTATATCAAGTGAACCAATACTGTTAGATCTGAAACATAGACTGACCTCTTATGATTTTTTTCCTTTGTCTCTGAGAAATGTGCACTATTAGTCTGAAAGCCATTTGATAGTGTGCGTGAGTATATTTCGCGACTCAAGGACATCACGGAATGGATAAAACAATAAGAATTAGAGGAGATATGATGTATTGTGTCGGGTAGAAATTCAAGTAGCCCGTTAATCCCAGCAGGCCGCCGCTATCGATTGATGCCAGGGTTTTATTTGACCACCTCTGATTGTTTCCTTTCCAACCCAATTGTATATCAGCCAACGTTGCTCGACAAGGATGACGATGATCGGCTATGCGCAACACGTGTCCAAGTCATCTCAATACATGTAGCTTCAAAATGTCATTGAATTCCGATACTTAGTCTCCTTGTGAACAAGTGTTGTAACGCCAATCAGATACCTTTACAGTTATATTACCGAAAGTTATAATGGGTATCATTATTCTAACTATTGATGTAATGGACGATGTCTGTAGGTGAAATTGAAAATACATTTTACGGTAAGATTTTCATTTCATCCAAAGATATCACCCACTAAATCGATCAATATGTATTATTCTGCTTACCCAAGACTGTGTCCGATTATGTTCCTTATAGACTGTACTATTTTTTGTTCTTAAAAGTTTACTTTTCCATTTATCTTACAGAGCGCTTTGGGTGTAATCGTTGGTGGAATTCTTGGGCATTCTTTATGTACAGGTTTTGCCGTTCTTATGGGTCGTTTTGTTGCTCAACGTATTCCTGTACAATGGAGTAAGTAAACTTATCTTATTATGTATTTATATATGTCTTTGTTGTTGAGAGATTTGTGTCGATATTTGGAATATGTTAATAAACAGTGTTCACGAGTTTTGTTGTAGGGATTTAATTTGTTTCAATTTTGACAGTAGACTAGTATCAAGGAAGGTTTAGTGTTATGACGAATTGTTTTTCAACGCATAAAGGTGGTTTATTTAAGGGATTTATTACTTTTATGTACTAGCAATGTTAGGTTTACGGTTAAAGGCAGTTGTTTCCGTCAAGTTGATGATGTTGCATTGGGAATTCCGTTAGGCCCCCTTTCAGCAGATATCTATATAGATATGATGGAGAAGATTTATAGAGGGTGTGAAAACACAAAAGCAACCAATCACGTCCAAGGAGACATCAGGAGAGATGACTAATAAACTCGTGGATAAATCTAAAAGCTCACTTCATCAAATTGAAGTATGCGCTGAAGATTTTGCTTAGCAGGGCGATGAAAGCTTGGCAAATTAACTATCCAGCTCAGAGAACACAACCACATGATAAGATATCTATATATCCTACATTGAGAGTTTAACGGAGGATTATATCAAAATCTGTGCCACTTCATAGAAGGTTTGTTAGAAGACATTGTTATCATAAGTGATAAACCTTGTTCTGCCACCTCAACTTTAAATCGAGTGAATGAATTTCAGAATAGCATATCACTTACGTGTGTAGTAGAGGAAGATAACTGTTTATCCTTCCTAGATGTATTACTTAGTCGACGGCTTGATAGATTAATAAAACAGTCTATTTATAGAAAACCTACCTGGCCAGGATGGTATCTTAATTATCACAGTTTCTTCCCTGTTCGGTACAAAAGAACCTTAGTAAGGTGCCTGTTCAGTGAAAATCCAACGAATATGCACCGAAGACACACTTGGTGAGGAAGAAAGAAAGTTGACATAAACTCTAGTTGATGATGATTATCCAAACAGGTTCATTGGGAGATATAAAATAGTCAGAACATCAAGACCTACTCCCCAACTCACCGCTAAGAAAGACGTGTATATCAAGCTACCCTATGTGGGGCATCATAGTAGCTTGGTAACTCGGCAACGGTTGGACACTGCGATTAAACAGTTTTTTTTGTCCAGTAAGTATTTACCATTTTAAATGTACGTGTGGCCACACAAACATGGGGAGGACTCATCGGTCTCTGCAAGTAAGGGCTTCAGAGCATATTCCTAAATGGTTTCAGAAGTGAATAGAATCCATTAATGGTGAGAGCGAAACATATTATAGAGACACGACATAAGATTCATGTTTACACGTCATTTAAACCAATCTATAAAACGCGTTTGGGGCATATCATAAAGTTTGTGGAAGCCCTAGCAATTCGAGGTTGAAACCACCTTTATGCGTTCAAAATCAAGTCGTCATCATACTAAACCTTTCTTGGTAAACTCTGTTTTGATACCACCTAGGATAGATGTACTATTACCCCTCTTATTTGAACTAGTATCAGTTAAAGAACCATTGAAAACGAGCAGGAGAAGTTCTGGACAACTGTTTTGTCCTAGTTTAGGATTCATCGGCACTACACAATTACTGGGTTTCAGACCAAGAACCTAGTGACTGGCTACAGGAGGAAGTTGACTGGATTACCAGTGAGAGGTTGTGACAAGTGGGGTCCAACAGGTAGAGAGCGAGGACAAATACTCGTCAGTGATGACACTGACTAGTGCTAGTCGCGCTAAAATCACCAATTGGTAGAAGTAAGAATTCATAGACTGGTCACTAAGTTGGATCCCAGTGGGCTGAATGGTCTACGAGCTGGTATTGTAACCGGAAGGTCCTGGGTTCGAAACCTAGCAGGGGTGTACTGTCAATGAATCCCAAGCACTAGGAGGAAACAGCTGTCCAGTACTCCCTGCTGGTTTTCAATGGTTCGCTAACTGATACCAATCCCTGATCAAACTTGTAATAAGTAATAGTTGATTATGTGTACCTCTACGTTGTTTTCATGGTAATGCCTCTTTGTAGATGTGTTCAAGTCACAAGTGTTTCATGAAATGTTCTTTTCAAAGTATTTGAAAGTACGATTACTGAACAAAGAGTAATTTTTTTCAATAACTCTTCTTCATCAGGTTCTATGGTTATTTATCCATAATAGTGAAAGAATTTTCATTGAACACTAGTAATTAGTGTGACGTGTCTCGTCCTTTCTTTGGTGCAGACTGAATTCTATCAATCAGTCAGGTTTGCAATGTGACCACCACTCTAGATAGCTCGCCATCATGGTGCACATTAATTTGATGATATTAGATGGTTGGAGGCAATCGGCACGAATAGCTCAGTGGTAACGTTTCTGACTGTAACGTCGGGTGACGCGGGTTCGAATCTCAGAAGGGACATGAGTTCCTTCAAGGATGCAGATACGCGCCTTGCTGACTGGTGAGTGACAGCTAGCAAGAAACCTAGGTCCAAGGCTTCCTGTGGCCGATTGCCTCCAACTATCCAGTATCATCAATTGAAAGAATTACTGTCATTGACACTACTAGCGTTATTTTTAAAAGTAACATTAAATCATTTGACATCAGAATTCAAAAGTTGTTTGCAAATAGACTTAATAGATTATAGTCCAAAACATGTTTATGTAGTTTCATTGTAACACTAAAGTAAGTGGCTGCACAAATTTCTTCTGAACAAACCGGTTTGGCTTCTTCAGGTGTATGTAGAAAAGAATTCATAAAGTATAATTAAGATCAGCTGGAATGCGATAAATAACTTTAAATGCTGTAGCAACATCAACTTTATGCCCACTGCCTACAAGGCAGGCGAAAACGAAACTACGAATGGATCCTGTTTATCCCTTGATTGACCATTAAGAATGATTTTCGCAAATACGATGATAAGCCTTATTTATTTTTAAGTCAATTTTGATTTTTTTTGTTGTCGATTAAAAAGAAATCAAAATTGACTTAAAAACCATTTTGTTGTTGATCCGATCCGGGGTACGATCCCCGGCCGACTTTACTCCTTTACTTCGCTAAGCCAGAAATAATGCTGGTAAAGAGGAAAGGTTGGGCATGAGGCTAGCAACCCCATTCTGTAAAATAAAAACACTGCTACAGAAACTTTAAGCCACTAGCTTGAAGCCCTATGTTGCACTGGGTAACGTGAAGGAAAATAATAAAAAAATAAATTTTTTGTTGATTGATTGGACCGAAATGTTCGGAAATGTCCTGTTGAAATGTCGGCTCCTCGTACGGACGCTTCAACGATATCTGAGGATTAACTTGAAGTAATCCTGTGAATGGTGACTAGCAGTGGGATCCAGGAGGCGCATCTCGTCCCATTTGGGATTCATCACCTGGATGTAGCTGCATCCTCCGAAGAGTGATGGTTTTCCCATTGATGTACGTTTCACTAGAGGTGATTCTCGTGGCTCAAGTGGTCGAATGGATAACGCTCTGGCGTTCAAATTGAAGGTCAATGGATTTGAACCTCGGTGAGGACAATGCCACTCATTGAGGAAAGCAGTTAGATCCAGTTGGTTGATGAGTCCAAATGGGACGAAACGCTGATGCTGGATTCCACTGGTAGTCACTATCCACCGAATGGATGCGATGATGAAGCTGCCTAGTTATACGCTAATGATTGCTAACAAACTTGTTGCCACCAGATTGGTGAATGTTTTTCTACTGTATTAAAAATGTTGCATCTTAGAGTAGAGTCATTGATGAGGATCTGATTGAAAAAAAATATAAAAAACTGAAAAGCAGTGAGCAATTTTTTCACAGCGATACCTGCTGATGGCCATAAAAGGGAACAGATATTGAAATCTAATTATGGAACGAAGGTGGAAGTGAAATGTTACTCAATAGTCACTTGCAATTCCATCCAGTTGGCAGTGAATCACATGTCAATTGTGTGATAGCTAGTGATACTATCTGGTTGCCTAAACCTCAGTGGGTGGAGTGACATTTGAACCTCACTGACACACTGATTGGATGTTTTAATCAAGAGACCAAACACAGGACATTTAGAAACACAACTATGCAGAAAATCCACACACATACACACACAGATCAAATACTCAGCTATAACATCAATAACTCAAAAAATAAACTGTGTACAGACATTGTATAAAAGAGTCCAAACAAAGTGTAGCACTCCAATGGTGAAGAAAATTGAAGAGAAGTAACTACTAACTGTCTTCAAAAAGAATGAATACTTACACAATTTCACCAGAAAGTGTTCAAACCGGAATCGTAATATCAATAAGAAACCATCTTTGAAGACCACAAGAACATTCATGCCACCGCATATAAAGAATATCTCTGAAATAGCGGCTAGAATATTAAGATCATTTGTTATAAACATAGCACACAAACCAACACAATCACTTTATTCAATACCGTGCAAACTTAGGGACTCAAGAGAGAAAGAGGGAAGATAAGATCAATATCATTCACAAAATCAATTGCATGAACTATGATAAGCACGGAAGCGATCAAAATGGGGCGTTCCCTTCACCTCCGAATCTATGAATTTAAATTAGCTGCGAAAAGACACGATATGTGTATTCTTTCATATCAATCAATGCATGTAAGCAATTATGGACGCTAATTTGACTGGGAGAATGTGGACACTACAAACACAGGAAAGATCAAAAATGCCAAGGAATTTCTAGAAGCTTGGTGCTCAGATGACTATACTACTGAGTCATATAACCAATCAATAAAAATATTCACTGTAAATTGACAGCCAGTCACAGCAATATCATTCGTTCCTGGAGAATCCTAACAAGTTCCTTTGATATTAAAACCTGCTCTGAAGATGTTGTCTAGATAGGGGACAACGAAAGTTTCACCATTAAATCAACCAGCTCAAAGAACACAACGAGATCAAAATCACCTACCTGAGCTGTAAATCTCTTCTATCATTTCATTGGTTGAAAGTCTTTGAGCGCTTAGACCAATAAGTCACATAACCTTCAACTTTCAAAATCTGAGAGTATTGAAAAAGGCTGAGATTTATTTAAATCTTCACTTAATAAACTTTAATCCCCAGTGAATTTTGAGGAAAAAAACCCCAGCCATTTACATTGTATTTGTCTACTTATTGCAATACACGAGTTCATAGATTATGGATTTCGTATTAGTATGTATAACTGGAAAAAAAACTACGTATTATTTAACTATATATGACTCAGTACCTGTTTAGTTTACAACAAATAATGTTAGGATATATACCTTACTTGTCATTCCTTTTTCATCGTTGATAAATTTAACTGTTATATTGGAGGAAATTTGTAGCTCAGGTGGATGTTTTTCACGTGATTGTTTTCTCTTAGCTGATGAGTGGCTTAATTATTTATTTACCATTTATTCAACCAACAAATTGTTACATTATGTGAGCATCAAAAAGCGCACCACACATAATTTCATAGTTTGTTCAAAGGCTAGGTGACCTCTCGGACACTTAAAATGGAAGCAGGTGACCGTTTTGTCGGGCCTTGTTCCAAACTTTCGGCTTGATATCTGACTCATAAGGTGTGCGTCGGTGGCTCAGCGGTTAGGACTGTCGCCGACCATGCACATGGTCCGGGGTTCGACTCCCTGCCGACGCACACTTGATATCTATAGTCGGCCTGCAAAATTTGGGCTACCGATATCTGTCTGTCTGTCTGGATTCAACATAGAACTTGGAACCGAAGTGCAGCAGTTCGAGTTGCCACGTTCCAAATAGCACACAGAGGTAGACAAGAAGATGAGTGGAGAGAATTAATAGAGTTTGACAAATATAGGAGTGAAACAGAATGGGTAATGGTAGAAAGGAATATGAAAGATTACAGAGATTGAATACATCTGCGCCATTGACAACGATTTTGAGCCATGTCACCTATTGTCTCCAGCCATTGATTCCTAGAGTCCCGAGGGCCCCAACCCGGGAGTCTGCATCTCCCTACCTGACTCAGTTTAACTGTCAAGGATTTCATGGATTGATGCCACGTTTTTGTTTGGCCACCACTGGCTCTTTTCCAACCTGAACCTATATCAGCTAACAATGCCCGTCGGGGGAGGCGGTGGTTAGGCATGCGCACCACGTGACCTAGCCATCTTAGTCTATGTAACTTTATAACCTCGTCGATTGATTTTCCCTCTTTGCCCAACACTCTACGCCTAACGTCAACATTACTTATCTTGTGAAACCACCTAACGTGAGACAGAGATCGCAGACATCTATGATCGAAAGCAGTCAACCTTTTCATGTCTTCAACGCGTATTGGCCATGTTTCAGAGCCATAGAGAAGGACGGAGCGAACTGATGAGCAGTACACACGTCCCTTGGTTGATAACCGGATGTCACGCCTACGCCAGAGATGGTGTAAGTCAGCGAAAGCAGCTCGAGCTTTTCGGATCCGTGCTGAGATTTCATCGCCAATCAGTCCGTTGGTGCTAATACAACTTCCCAAATAGGTGAAGTGGTCAACATGTTCTATCACTTCACTCCCTATCACTAAGTTAGGGGTTGACGTGGTCCAGTCCTGTAGCAGCATCTTACATTTTGCAGGGCGAATCGCATCCCAAACATACGAAGATTGCTGCTCAAGGTGTTCAGAAGACTCTGCATTTTGTCAGCATCCTCCCCTAACAGGACTATGTCATCTGCATATTCTAAGTCCATTAGATTATTCCCTGGTAACAAGTCGATTCCTAAGTCACTACGTTCAGTTAAGGATACTTCCATACTACCGATATCACATGCTGAAAACTCCATACTTGTGCCAAAAATACTGTGTGGTTTCAAACTATAATCAAAAATAAAAAGAAGGTAGTTGGGCAGCCGTCCCCATAGGTCATAGTGACCAAAACATATTCATATGCGCCATTCGATCCTTTCAGATTCTGCAGCCCATGGACACTACCGCAGGTATGGAATTATGGTTTCCTAATTCCCTTAGGTAGATTAGTAGACCATGTCCACCAGTCTGGTTGTAGGTGTCAGCCAGGTGTTCGTATTCGCTCCTTTCACTTTTGTGAGGAACACCAACCCATCCCCGGCCCGCCTAGTAAAGGCAGTGAATAGAAATTATCAACCAAAGACTGTGAACACGTAGTCACATGAAAGTATTTCGAAATGAAGATCAAAGTCTACTCACCTCTGGGCCGTCTTACTAATCTGAAGTGAACACTCAAGATATTGTCGTGATGGGCAATGAAAGCTTCAAAAATAAACCACTCGTCTCAGAGGTCGCAACCAGATACCCAGCACTTCTATGTTATATCTTCGCATTTCTTTGGCTCCTTGGGTAGCCTTCTCAGCTGACTTCGTACGTTGTACTGCTCAGCAGTTCGCTCCGTCCTTCTCTATGGCTCTGAAACATGGCCAATACGAGTTGAAGACACGAAAAGCTTGACTGTTTTTGAGCATAGATGTCTATGATCTCATTCTCACGTTAGGTGGTATAATAAGGTAAGTAATGTTGACGTTAGGCGTAGAGTGTTGGGAAAACAGGGAAAATCGATCGACGAGGCTAAAAAGTCACATAGATTGAGATGGCTAGGTGACGTGGTGCGCATGCCTAACCATCGCCTCCCCTGACGGGCATTAGTAGCTGATATAGGTGCAGGTTGGAAAAGAGCCAGTGGTGGCCAAACGAAAACATGCCACCAATCCATGAAATCCTTGACAGCTAAACTGAGTCAGGTAGGGAGATGCAGACTCCCGGGTTGGGGTCCTCGGGACTCTAGGAATCAATGGCTGGAGACAATAGACGACATGGCTCGAAATCGTTGTCAGTGGCTCAGATGTATTCAGTCTCTGTAATCTTTCATATTCCTTTCTATCATTACCCATTCTGTTTCACTCTTATACCTGTCAAACTCTGTTGATTCTCTTCACTCATCTTCTTGTCTACCTTTGTGTGGTATTTGGAACGTGGTAACTCGAACTGCTGGACTTCGGTGCCAGGTTCTATGTTGAATCCATACAGACAGACGGACATTCCACATCCCCATTCTTACTCTTGGTTTCACCGAGAAAAGACACATTGGTTGACTGACTGGCCTCTCAAAGGCAATCACTAGCCCGCTGTGCCATTTCGCCCCTCCAAATCCAGTGAAGATTAAGATTATTATTTGAATTTTTTGTATTTTTAATATACTTGTTGTGCGTTGAAGTTTCTTTAGCAGTTTGGTAGCTTTTATGTTGTAGGGGGGGCAGCCCCACACCTAACCCTCCGTCTTTAGCCGGGTTTGGGACTGGTTATTAAACTGACAGGCTAGCTAACGGGGCAAGGATGCAACCAAATGAGATTTTTATTTTAATTTTATGCATGTACTAGTGTGTGTGTGTGTGTGAGTTTATTACTCTGTAAGTCCCTTTTATACTCATCGCTCATCAATTTGTCTTTTCTTTTTCTCTGTTTTCTCTTTAGTTACATTTATCGGGGGTGTAACATTTATAATATTTGCTTTCAGTGTATTCTTTGGTAATCCAGAATCAAATTCTTGATTTGACCGTTCCCTCTCCTCCCGGTTTTCTATTGGTTAGTTGTTCATACATATATTCCTGTTTATTTTATGTAATTATTATTATAATAGCATACATAGATACAGGTATTTGTATATTTCAGTTACAGAACATCATTCGTATATTAATTTACACAAAATATATAATTTCTTTTCCACTAGTGAGCACATTTTCAAATGCTATCTATGTCCTGCTTTCCTTCTCTTAAAGATTAACTTGATTATTATTAATTTTATTATTATAATTATTATTTAAGACAGACTTATTTTACGTCTTGTTGTATCTCTGCTCTACTTTTTTTTTACTGTACTAATTTATTTATTTATTTATCTATTTTTGATTTCTATTTCTCTGTGATGTGAAGTGTTTGTTGTATACACATATACACAGAGGTAGACAGATGAATTGTGATCATGTCCGATGAGTACAACTTTTGTTTGTTGCTTCTCATCATTATCACCGTCATCATCATCACCACCACATTCCCACCCTATTTTTGTTTTTGTCTTAAACAAACAAGTCTAGTCTTGAACAATTGAACAATATTGTCTATATTTTCTACTTTAAACTCTCATCATTTGTTTATTTTGGTTGTATATAACAACATATCTAACGTCGTCATACTGTGTATATGAGTACTATCTATACGGTTAATTGTTTCGATATATATATATATATATATATATATATATATATATATATATATGTATATATCATTTCTTAAAGCACAAGATAAATGGAAGGAAACAGTCTTTCATTTTTGTCTGTTTTGTTGAATCGGTATTGGGTGGTGGTGGTGGTGGGGGGACAAGTTAATAAACATACATCTATCTGTATACAGCAAGTTACCTGGAGAGTTCTATTGAGAAGTAGTGACCAATTTGGGGTAGGGTAGACACTCTGTCAGGTATTAGGGATTATTAAAAGGACGATTACAGCGAAGAAAATTTTCTTCTCGATGAAGTCATGTACTTAAAGAAAAATGGCTGAGAAAGTTCTAGAACTGGTGAACTCAGGACATTTATCTGCATTTGAACAAAGTCCTTCAAAGTTGTATACACAATCCGTTCGAATCTCTTAAAAAGAGTGAGATCAAGGCATCTGGGAACAGTTGAGTCAGTAGCGATGTTTCCAAAAGATATGCGTCCAGTCTTTGTCTTAAACGTCGCCGTCATAGCAAGTCAGTTCTCTCAGTCGTTTTTATCCTACTACCTGTCTTATGCAAACTTCCTGTTTTGTTTCTGTTATTTTTAGCTTTTTGAATCCCTGTTTGCACTACTATGTTTTTATCGTAGTTTCCTGTTTATTTTGATATTACTACATTTGTAATCGCTAATTGCAATTTGAGAAGGTGTAGGTGATAGAGATAACCAATCAACAGCACCAAGCACCAAAAAACGGGGGAGATTTAACAGAGGTTACAACACATTTCCACTTTGTCCTATCTTCTGTTGTCCTCTTCAGCTTCGACCAGGATTGCTTACAATCCCTAATCTCCTCCTCGCCAGACGATCCCCTCCATGTCACCCTCGATGTGACGACCCACTCGTCGCTTCTTATTGGGATTCTATTCGACGGTCTGGTGCGCGATATCATTCAACGGTTTCTTCAGTGTATTCCCGATCCATTTTTATTTTCTCCTACATATGTGTTGAGTGGTCGACTATTCGTTGGTTTGTTCCCGCCCAGAGGTTCTTGTTGCTTACTCTTTCTGACCACCTGCTAACCATTTGATCTCCAGTATGCAGCGAAGGCAGATGTTGATTAAAGTCTGTGGTAGCCTGTTGGAAATCCTTTTCGTTACACGTAGTGCAATATTCTCACCTGCATAGAAGCACTAACCGACTTGACATTGGTGTTGAAAACCCGAATCTTGTTCTTTATGTTGGTTGATTTCTAAACTGGTTTCAGGTTGACGAAGGCATATCTTGCCTTTCTGATTCTATCTAGCTTTGACATCATCCATTCTGCCGGTAGTTGAAACAATGCGTCCTAGATAAGTGAAGGAGGTAACCTCTGTTAAATCTTTCCCGTTTTTGGTGCTGGTTGCTGTTGTTGCTCTTGATTGGTTATCTCCATCACCTCCGTCTTCTCTGTGTTCATTTGTAGTCCTGTTTTCGCTGCTGCTTCTTCTGCCAGTTTGTTGCTTTTCACCCGCCTGTATCTCTTCGAGTCTGTGTCACATCAAACACAAATCATCTACGCACAAAATCAAAACCAGTTAGAGTTTTCTTATCGGCGATCCAACGTATTCCTGTTTACCCACTCTTAACAGTCTTTCTCTTAATCAAGTTTACCACAATTAAGGGCATAATTGGTGATAACAGATGACAGGCAGCCTTGTCTTACTTCTGTATTCACTTCGAAAGCCCCACTGAGTTTTCCGTTGTGGATCACCTGACACGTGGAATTGTCATATAGCCAGCTGTCAAATGAGGTTGTTGAAGACTTGGGACACTGTATGCCGAAGTGTTGAAGTAGTTTCCGAATTGTTTTTTGGTTAATGCTGTCTGTTGAATGCCTTTTAGATGTCGATGAAATTGAGGTAGATGATTGACCGATATTCTATGCTGTGTTCTGTAATGACGGTGCGTAGAGTTGCAATTTGATGAGCATATAATATGCCTCCCCTGAATCCAGCTTGTTCCGTTTGATGGCGGAGTCCTGCATATAGTGTGTCTATTATTCTCTTCAAGATGAGGTGACATAGTATTTTACTTGGTGTGGACAAGAGAATTATTCCACTTCAATTCTTTCAGAGGCCTAAGTCGCCTTTTCATCTTAAATACAGTAATAATACAGTAATTCAACGCACTATGAAATAACCTAAAAAGCTTATTATTTAATAAAAGTGTGTACCATATACTTACAAATTTGCAGATTATCTATATGAAGCATGATTATGTATTGATTGAAACCGATGTGAGCTTGTCAGAAATTGACAGCACTATCATCTGAACTGATTTTAATACTGACCTATGAGGACGAATCAAACGTTCGCATGTTTTTTTTTCGATTATCTATGAGTACTTACTTACTTTACTTTACTTCGGCTATCTCCTACGGGAGGATGAGCCGGCTTCATGAACGTCTCGAATCATCGCTGCCCAGGCGCGGCAATTTGTAAGAGAGTTCATGAAGTTTCATGGGAATTTGGTACGAGTGATGTCCCCAGCATCGCTCGGCCTTTTGTTTGAGAGTGCAGCTCTAGCCTTTACACAGCCAAGTATGACCTACAAGGCAGTAGGAGTGGAGTAAGGAGTCCACTATCCATTGGCAGCCGGTGACCGGAGTTCGGTTCATACGCCTTTTTGAATGGGGCCAGACATCCAGGACATCCAACAAGCCCTTTGTCCATACGTCTGCCGGTGAGCTCCAGTGAGCTTCATACGCCAGTCGTTGGAGGTTTGGAATCAGGGTTTAGCCATCTCCCCTAGACCGTCATCCAATGGACAGTCAACCCGGTGGAGAGCGCCGGGCATCCGCTTTCGCCCTCTCACTTTGGTGAGAAACACCTCCGCCACGTGAAGGCAGTGAGTAGGACTTCCTCAGGAGAGGCTATGTAAGACGCCCGGTCATATGGGAGCATTTCAAGAGGTGTGCGGAGGGGTGGCCAACCCGCAGCGCAAGGCACCCACCCCCGACCATCCTGAGGCTTTGGAGTACTAAACCAATTTTATTGTCAAGAAGCTAGCCTCATAAGCTGAAGGTCATGGATTCGATCCCTGGGGGGTAGGGGTTGTGAGTGTACATTACTGAAGAGTCTCGAACAAGGACGAAACGACTGTACAGCTTAGTTTTGATTTTCCAACTGAAGCCATTTAATCGTGAAATCAACATTAAAATATCATTTTTGTCTTATTTTCCGTTAGTCTCCAGGTTGTAATGCGACTCTCCATAGGAAAACGAAGCCTAAACTCCTTACATCTGTGAATATGTTTCGTGTCTTGGCTGATGAAAAGTATCCGTTATTCATGTGAAATTCGTTGAAGCAGTAATTGTAATATCTGAGTTCCACAATAAAATATTCAGAAGATTTATAATTTTCAAAACATTAAGATGCGACCATATTGTATTTTTAATGAAAATGGATATTTGAAGATTGGAATTGTACACAAACACGTGTGATATTTTGATTGGACACTAGTAACTAGTGTGGTGTCTAGTCCTTTCTTTGGTGCAGACTGAATTCTCTCAGTCAGGTTTGCAATGTGGCCATCATTCTAGGTAGCTTGCCATCACGGTGCACATTGATTTGATGATATTAGATGGTTGGAGGCGATCGGCTACAGGAAGCCTTGATTGACCTAGGTTTCGTGCTAGTTGGCACTCACCAGTCAGTCAGCAAGGTATATCTGCAACCGTGAAGGAACTCATTTCCCTTCTGAACCCGAATAGCTCAGTGGTAACGTCTCTGACTGCAGCACTGGGTGACGCGGGTTCGAATTTCAGAAGGGGCATGAGTTCCTTCAAGATTGCAGATACGCCTTGCCGACGAGTGCCAAATAGCACGAAACCTAGGTTAAGCAAGGCTTCTTGTGACCGATTGCCTCCAAGCATCTAATATCATCCCATGTGATATTTATTTGTAATCAACGCTCATGGAATACTAGTAATTTGTACAACAGTACGGAGGAGACGATAATTGTTATTATTCCCCTAGGTGGCTTCACCAGCACAGCTCCATTTCATCCTGTTATCTACAGTGTTCGTTAGCTGGCTCCACAACTGAACTCATCTCCTCTATGTCACGCTTGGACTCTTAACTCGTCGTTTCCCTTTCGGGTTCCACACGATGGCCTGGAACATGATGTCACTCAACAGTTCCCTTCGTGTTTGTCCGACGATTTCCTTCGGTTTGTTTGTTGTGTCGTAGGTTCTTAGTTGGTTTGTTTTCAGAATTTCTTGTTACGTATCCAATCTGATCAGCCAACTGGTCTTTAGTGCGGAGCCGATGAAGGTAACTGTTGGTGAAAGTCTTCATTGGCCTGTTGGAAATCCTTCTTGTGACACACGCCCCAAGTCTCTGAACCATTCAAAAGCATTATACTGACATTAACTTTAGTTGAAATTCGACTATGGTTCCTTGTACTGAGTGATGTAAATGTCCACGCTTATTTGGAGAGTAGCAAACACCTGTCTTGCTCTTGAGATCTCCGCTTTGATATCCTCATCTATGCTGTATTTAATTGAAACAATGCTGCCATGGTAAGTGAAACCTATGACTTCCTTTAGATTTCTCCTTTGGTTAGTTGGTTTTTTCCTGTAGATCTTCGTGTATCTGCGACATATAACATAAAGTTACCGCATGTTTTCTTCTCGGTCCAACTTATACCCGTCTTTTCGTTCCCCACAGTCTGGTAAATAACTAAGTACACCACAATCAGGAATATGTTCATCATCAGTACTAGCAGTAGTAGGCAGAGGTAGGCTTTTCTTACTCCTATCTCCACTTCAAAGGCTTTGTTGAACTTTTTTTCTCAGCCTCTTGACATATGTGACATTATCATACACTTGTTAAATGAAACTGATGAATCCTTGCAGTTTCAAATCACTTAACAGTCAACGTTATACATCGAAAGGCCTAAACACATAAGAGATGGCAGTGAGAAAAATGCATTTTCAGCAGTATACACTGTACTGTGTATTGACAATAAGAATTCACGTAGTACAGCAACAGGAATACTCAAACTGGATACACTTTAAATC